GACACACATATGTTTATCTATATACACATATATGTGTGATACACATATCAACATATAATACAAATGTACCATATAAATGTATACATGTATACTTGTGTATGTATGTATTTTAGTTTATATATGCATATATTGTGWGTATATGTATGTATATATGGATGTATGTATATGAATTTAGCATTCTATGACCTCATGGAATTTCATGAGAAAAATTAAGAGAAGAAATATTGAAGAAGGTAGGGAAAAAAATAAAATTGTGTCTCTGAGCTTTTCAGCAATTTGGACTTACAGACTAATCTATATTCAATGAATTAGAACCTCATAGAATTAGTCACTTGTGAAATTTTTGTTAAATGATTCATTGAAATTTCAGTTAAATTTTAACCATCTAGCATCATTTTTACTTCATCTAACAAAGGTACACCTTCATTTTTCTCAGGAGAAAATCTAGTTCAATTTAAAATTAATCCTTAGAAACAAAGCAAACAGAAAAAAACAAAAGAAACAAAAAACAAAAACAAAAAAGCAACAACTTCAGAAGTTCTGAGCTTAGAGTAATGGAGCATGGAGTCAAGAAAGCCCTGGAGTTCCATGTCTATAAATACTTTGAATTCTGTACTTCTATATTTCTTAGTAGATTAAGAATTTTTAAGTAGATTAAGAATTAAGATATGAACCCATTATAAAGCTTAAATAAGAAATGCACAGGTGAGAAAATGAGTGTTATAGCTATCTGTTATTACTTTTATTAGAAGACATTTTGACTGGTTAGACCACACTGAGAAGTTTCCCTTCTTCCCTCAGTTTCAGCCTATATTAACTTCCAGTTTAGAAATTAGAATCTTATATGATTACTTTAATTTCATGTGCATTTTCTTCCTGTATGCATATCTACAACTTATGTATGCAAATAATGTCGCCTGGACTAAGAACAATTAATCACCTCATAAATTCTGTTAAATAATTGAATGTGAATTAGAGCTACCTTTGAATCATTWTTAGAGTCTCTAAAATCACATTTATTTTACAAAAGATTGCATTTTCTCAGTTTAACTTTGTTAAGTCAAAACAAATAAAGTGTAGTATCTTGTTAAGTTCCCTAGCTTTCATAAGTCTTCTAATATTTTACCATTCACAGAAATGTTCTTGTGGCATATAATATAACTAGTATGCATGAGCTAATCCAATATCTGAGCTATTACTGACATATCATAATATGATGGTATTTGAGTCCAATGGTATATGCTTGTAATACCAGTAACATGGGAACCTGAGGCAAGAGGATCACAAATTTAAGGTCGCCTTKGCAACTTGGGAGACACTGTCTAAAAATACAAAATAAAAAGGTTTTGGGATGTATTTCAATGGTAAAGCACTCCTGGTTAAATTCCAAGTACTACAAAAAAGCAAATCAAAATGAAACAAATATAAAAACAATATGATGACATGTGCAATTCTAATATTTTTCTTTATACTTTCTGTTACCTACTCTCTTTCAAGATCTCTTTGCTGGGGACCAAAGAGATTCTAGAAAAGGTAAATAATTAAAATCCTATGAATTAATGGCAATAATAGCTTTAAGAGCATTTTTTTAAATTTTTTAGTTCATTTTTATTTACCTGATGTAAGCTCTAGAGATGGCTATATTGGRATATATTGTTCCTTTTCTGAGACATATGTATGTATATACATACATATATCAGACCACACCTAGAAGTATATATGGCCATTAAAAGGCACACATCCTTTATCAAGTGTTGTTATATTTTATAAGTCATACTTTTTAAAGTGTTTTATAAATACTAATTCACTTAATCCTTATCATTAATCCTATACAGTAATTACTACAATTGTTTTCATCTTTATGGAAGATAAAACTGAGGCATGCATTTATCAAATTTCCCAATGGATTAAAAATTGGTAAACAGGAGGAACCAGACCTCAAATTTCAATGGCCACAATCTATGTTCTGTTGGATCTATACAGTGGAGGACAACAATATGGAAGACTGATGCACAACTTTGAAAACTAACATTTTCTTATACCTGTAGAAAAAAAAATGGAGAACTTTGCATAAGTAACACTAAATATTTGTGGCAGAAGACAATTACATGTAGAAAAGGCAGTAGAAGATATTCAAATACAAGTTTTGAAGTTCTCATAATCCTCTATGCACTTATTGATTTAAAATAATATCTTTATTGTCACAGATAAGGCATTGCATTATTTGTTCCATTCACTATCTCATCTTTTTATCACTTGCTTCTTGCTCAGTGTGCTATGTATGTATACTCTCCCCTTATTTTTGCTCAAAAGGATTAATATTATTTGTATGGAAAGGTCTTAAAATTCCAAGCATGATTTACTTCTTTCATCCTTCTTTCAGAAGAGCTCTCCTCTCTATCTATATTAATAGTTTTTACTTTGAAACAAACAACCCAGACCCAGAGGCTAAAAACAATCATTGTGGGTTRGTGAAAGTCAATGATTTTCCTGGGTCCCTGCATGGCTCATATCTACTTATTCGCCTGTTCTAACCTGGGTTTTTCCAGAGGAACTTAACAGGGACAGTTCTGTTCCAGCAGTTTAACTCAGTTTTATCCTTCCCATGTAATGTCAGAAAAATCGGAGAGAAAGCCCAGTTTCAAGTAACTTCCAAGGACACAATCAAAATCAAAGGAAAAGTAAATATGCTTTATCTCTTGATGGGAAGATATGCAAGTCATGTGGCCAAGGATGTGGAAGAAGACAGAAATGAAATGAAGTGTAGGGATATAAGTTATGATTATAACCTGACAATTTTTCTATTTTCTTTTCTTAGTTTTCTTTTTACAATTTTTTTCATTAGTGCATTATATGTAATAGTGAGCTTCACTTTTACACAATTGTATAGGCAAGAAATAAATTTGCTTACATTCAGTCAAAAGCATTTCCTATTTCCCTTTCCACCTCCTCCCCCCATTCCTCTTCCTCTACTTTAATGATTTTTCTTATATTTATTTATAGTTTTGTTTAATTAGTGATTTATAGATATCCACAACTTGAAAAATTCACTGTGGCATATTTATATATATGCATCACATAATTTGGTCAATTTCATTTGGTAGTTCCTCCCTTTTCACATCACTCCTCCATTCCCCTTTATCTTCTTCCACAATTCCACAATCACATTAATATCCCTTTAGACTTCACAGGGTCCTCCACTGTTGTGTAGCTTCTGCATATGAGAGAAAACATTCAACACTTGATTTTATGAGTCTGGCTTATTTCATTTAGCGTGATTGTCTCCTGCTTCATCAATTTACCAGCAAATGCCATTTTTTTTTCTTCAGMCACTGTAACTATTTGAATTTGTAAGCATATGTGTGTTTGTATATGACCAAATTTGTTCTCTCTGAGAATAGGGATTTCTTTAATTACCATCAATGCAGAGTTTCTGGTAAATGTTCCAAGTTCAAGCTCAGCACTGTAGCACACACCTGTAATCCCAGWAACTCAGGAAACTGAGGCAGGAGGATCGCCAAGTGTGAGGCCATCCTCATCAACTTTGTGAGGTCCTAAGGAACTTAGTGAGAACCTGTCTCAAAATTTTTAAAATTTTGAAAAGAACTGGAGATGTAGCTCCATGGTAAAACACCCCAAAAGTTCAATCCCTGGTGTGTGTGTGTATATATATATATATTTTTTTTTTCACACACACACACACACACACACACACTCAACTAACTAATATTGTTTGGTGTATGAAATGCTTGATTTAATTCTAGTAAGTAATCAGATGAGAGCATTCATAATACAAATTAAAATAAATGTATTCAATTATTCTCTCTTAACTTATACCATAATAAACTAGATTTAGAAAACAAGCTTAAAGGTCAGTTAGGAGAAAGGATAATTTTTAAATTAACCTCTGCAATACTCAAGATGAAGCACAGTGTCGGGAAGAGTAGAAATATGGGGAATAGTTAAAGATAAATGGATGAGCAAAATAAGAATGGAACAAATCAAGGTGTTACAAATACTATAGGTATGCTGACAATGAAACTTCCAATTTTTAATATTTCTCATTTGGATGTTGTTGTATGGTGTAGAAATGTATTGTCATTTTTAATTTTGAAAAGTCAAGTGCTTTGGCCAAGATCACATGACTAGGAAGAGATGGAGGCAGGATTTAAATATGTATTTTTCAAATCTGAAGCCATTGCTGTTTTCTTTAAAGAACACAGTTATGGTATTTAAGAATTGCAGACATATGATGGGATACATTTATATATGTTTAAGACTCAAAAATAAAAAACACAGTGAATACTACTGCACTGATCTGCTTGGGTTGCCATAACAAAATGACAGATGGGTGAATTAAACAGCATAAATTTATTTTATTACTGCTCTTAGCATTAGAAGCCCCAGATAAAGATATCCATATATTGGTTTCTGGAGAGGATTCTCCTTGGGTTATTGGTAGTACTATATTTTTCTGTCCTCACATGGTTATTAAATGTGGTTTAGTAGAGAAAAGTCTCATGCTTTTCTTAGAAGAACATGTGTCCTCAAAGAATTGGGGATAAACCTTATGAACTCATTTAACCTTAATTATCCTCCTTAATACCTCTATAGCCAATCAAAGTATGTAGTCATATTTGGGGTGAGAATTTCAATCAACATAGGAAATTTTCAGGGGGATACATTTCAGGCCTAAGAAGTGGAAACATAACTGATAGATCAAATCACAATATTTCAAAGACTTAAGTTGAAATTTTGGAAACATATGCTTTAGTCCAGTGAAACATTTAGTGCATATTCATTCAGAATATTTCACTTTTTGCATACAGATCAAATGACCTTGCAAAATTATGTTTTAAACCTGAATTTGTAAATGAAATTTATAAAGTAATTTTTTTCTTTTCTATATTTTATTCATTGGAAACGAATGACAGATACTTAAAATAGGCTGAGAGATTTTAGAATTTACTGAAAAGACTTGCTTTTCTTTTATGTTACAGGCCCAACAGCTTACTGATCTGGAACAAAAATTAGCTGTAGCCAAAAATGAACTAGAGAAAGCAGCTCTTGACAGGGTAAGTTTACGTCTATGAGCCATCACACTTTGCTTTTTGAAAAAAAAAATGCTATAGTATGCTCATTGCTTTCTTTGATTTATTAATTCTGTTCCAGATGCTCTGCATGTAAGACAGTTATAGAATTCATGAATATGTGATAGTCTCTATGGACTCCATTTTTTTTCCTTATTTTTGCTGCTACAATATATTTACTCAAGTTTCAGGCTCTGTGAAACTTGAGTAAATATATTGTTCATGGCTTCAATTTTTAACTTATTCCTACATTTGTTATGTAACACCATGAATAAACATACTTTATAGCACCAACTAAGATGTTAAGCATTAACTCTGGATGAATGAGTTGTATGTTTTATATATTACATACATGTGTTATATATGGAGGGGGATGTACATTTGAGGTATGCAACATATGTGTATATTACATTTATGTATATGTTACAATTTTTGTGTCATAAAATGTAAAATATTGTATCTAGCGCATATAAATTATATAATTAATGCAATATTTTTTAAACATTTAATTAGGAATTCTATTCCCTTGATATTTGTTAGTTTGTTCTGTAGAGTCAGCAAAATAATTTTTTAAATTTTAAGAAACTGTGTTCTGTTTTCAAGAGCGTTCTATTTTGTGATTACAGATTAGTAGTCATTTATTGAGAAAATTAAGCAAGCAAAATTAATGCACTTATAAAAAATATTTACAATATATTTATTTATACACAGTGTATTATTGTAATTTTTCAAAGAAAGGAATGTGCCTCCTAAAAACAAACTGGCTAGAAAATAGAAAGAAGATGGAATATTTAAATCTGGTTTTACCTTGAGCTCTGTTGATGTCTTTCATCAGCCACCTGTTACTATGCAGTGGTTTTGAAGGACCAGGCTAAGACTCCACTTCTCAGGGACTTTATTCATTTCCTCAGTATGGTATGACCAAACTATGATGGCTATCACAGCTAAGATAGCCAAATTGTCAAACAGGATATCTGGGCAGTGTCCTTTAGAGGGGCTACTAAGAGCATTTGTGGGTGCCAATGATATTCCTTCATAAGGCTTAGAACTCTGGGATCAATTAACATTTGAATGAGTAATTTGTTATCTTAACAACCTAACTTTCTTATTGTTGCTGTATTTTAAATAAATTTACCTAATTTAATAATTTTAGGGGAGTCTGGTATTCTGTGGAGAAGATAAAATATGATTTATGAAAACTCTAGTTTTGTAAAGCATTGTGTTAGCTCATAGAAAAGAAGTGTACACTCCTACAGACTAATCTCTGACCATATCCAACTCATGCTACATAACATTACTTGTAAAAAGGAATTTGAAACTATAGAATTAGTGAAATCAGAAATTCAGAGGCAACATATAAACTTAAAGTTCAAGTAGACCAACTTAAAACAAAAATTTTTAAAAAATACCTTTCTCTGTCATTTCTACCACCATCTTTATAATATACATTTTATGTCCTAAAAAACATTGAATTCTTATGATCTTGACATTCTGTTAGTTTTTATCATATCTAGTTATTGGATCAAACTGATATTACATTTTTTTTCTGATTAGATTTCACAGAAGCTTTTCATAAATTAATAAATTAATAGCATTAAAATGTTTTTTTCTTGTGCTAGGTATTATGGGAAATAGAAAATATTTGATATCTGATTTTGACTCCCACATGTGTCATAATTTCCTGAGCATGAACAATTAGTAAATAATTCTATACTGAGTCATAAGACAATAGAATCACAGAAAATGTAAGTATAATTGGGTCACTTACAATGATATAGTCACAAAACCCTTCACTGGTACATTATAATTGGGCCTGTGTCATTAAACCCAGGGTTAAGGTAGAGTTGCTTCTTATTCTTTAGGTATGTTTTTTCCTCCTTCCCAATTTCATTCTCTTACATATGCATTTATGTACCCAGCCCATACCATGCCACAGTCTGGATTTAAGATGGGAGTTTGCATGTTGTATTGCTTAAATAATGATTCCCAGAATCTTTCTTCCTATCTTCAAATTAAAACTTTTTTTTTTTTTTTTTTTTTTTTTTTTTTTGCTGAATTACCATGTTCAAATCCCTCAAACTCTTTAAATTTCTCTGGGATCAATAATACAAAGTACTTTATAAAGGTGATGGGAGATTAGAAAAGTAAAGTGCTTTGAACAATACCTGTCACATGCAAAACAGTCATTATTATTATTAATGAATGAGCTCACAGTGCCTGCCTCTCTGTTAAAACAATTTCCCCCTTAACCATTAGGATTGAGTCACTCCTTTTATAGTGAACTATAAAAGTGTTTCATATTAGATGTTGAGTTCAACAAACCTCATGTAAGGTATGCATGAGGCACATAAACAGCAGTCATAAAGTCAAATAGAAATGTTGCTTATTTCAAAATGGATAAAAACCAGTTTAATGAAATTGCTCTTTACCTCTCTCCATCATCTTTACATGAGACTTTTCATATTATTCAGGTGTCTAGCTCCTAAAAATAGTATATCTTGGCTTTAATTAAATACCTCAAAAATATTATAAAAAGCATTCAAACTCCAACTTGGTCCTCCTGACATATATAGTAAAAAAAAAAAAAAGTCTCAGTTTACTATTCTAATATAAGCAGCAATAAACTCAAAATCTAAAAATCAACCTTGAGGTTCCAAACAATCAATTATTTATTTGGCAATATCTTATGAACTATGGTCAGCTTTCACAACTGGAATATAAAAATGGTCATAAGGTATAAAAATCCCTCAACCTTTCATACCAAAAAAAGTTTGTATAGCATCTGAGTCTCAGAAAATTTTACATAGGAAATCATACATTAATGCAGATAAGATTTACCTAGATTCTCAGGACAAAGTTGTCAAAAGGAGAAATCTTTTTGCAAAAGCATAGTATTTGGCTTATAGCCAAATTACAAGAAATTGTTATTATTTGAATACAGAAATGAAGATATAACTTACCAAATAAATAAACATGTTTTCATAGTATTGTCCAAGGGATTTGGGGACTACTAGTGTACAGATCCAAATATTTTGAGTACTCCTGGGATTGTAGAGTTGATTCGTGTCAGAAATCAAGTTGAGGAAATAAAGTTTCAACTCTTTATGGTCTTTCTGAAGTCAGCAGCTGATATTACACCCTCATCTTTCTGAGATAGTGTTTTTATGTACAAGAGTTAAGATGAGCATGAATAGTTGTAAATTGTCATTACTCTGAGATTAGATATTAGGAGAACCATTATATTTCTAGGATGTATTTCATTGTCCCCAAAGAAAATGCATTTTTAGGGGAAAAGCACTAATATATATTCACATGAAATATTACTTTTTAAGTTTCTCACCATCATAAGATCACATATAACAGTTATTTCTTATGAACTTTCGATAGGATATAAAAATACATAAAAGTATTTTTAATATCTGTGATAATAATATGATTGTATTACCCAATGTGCTGGATAAAATAGAAATATTTCATCATTTCCTCATGTAATAGGGCATTAGCCTCTACATTCTGAAGGATTTTCTTTACTTTTTTTAATTACAAATATTTGTTCAGTTGAAAACTGATGCTGCAGAAAAGCTTCCAACTCTCAAAGATAATGCATTATATTTCAAAACTTGATGAACTCATAGACACATATGCAAGAAAATAAATTGAAACGATGTAAAGGCTAAGAAAGACATAATATTAGGAAAGGTAATAGTGGCTTAAAGGAAGGCACATTCTTAGAAAGGGTACTCAAGATCTGTTTCCTAAAAGATAAACTGTGAGTTAAGTGTGTGAGCATTTTCAGTAAAAATTCCAAAGTGGACCTTTGGGTAAGGCATCTGCAGCTGGGGATATTTGAGGGGCTATAAACAAAGGATACCAAGACAAGCAGAGGGGTATAGTTAAGAAATTTGCATCATAATAGCATATAGAAAAGTGGTTTGATGCAGTGAGGGCAAAGACAGCACAAACAAGATTAACTTTGGAAGAGAATAGGTTTTAGGATCTAGGGGAAAGTACACTATATATGTTGTACATCACAGTGCATTAAGGGACATCCTGTCCTAGCGAAATTTCAAAGTGAGCAGTAGCCTACAGCTTTAAGACAGACTTCAGTTAGCAGTATAAATGAAAATGCAATGACTTTTATATGTATTGTAAAATTGTTGGGTCCTGTTCATGGAACCTCATTGAGCCAAATATGAGTAATATCAACAACAGGCCCTGTTAAACATTAAGAGGCACTGATTAGGGGTCATATAGAAAGTGGTCAAATCAGGGCAGCTTGCTYGCAGCAATCCATAATCTTTGGCAGAAAATCCTGCCACACATTCAAGAAATTGTACGAAATTCCAGATGAAAGGTCTTGATGCAGGCTTATGACCCAAGGAAAGAAAACTAGTAGGTAAAACATTAAGAATAGGTTAAAATATGAAGGAAAGCTAGCTTCCCAGAATGATAGAAAAAGGAAGAGGTGGAGAGCACATTTTATAATGTTTACACTGCTAACCTGGGGTTATCCTGGCAAGGTCAAGAGACCTGTGGAAATAGATGAGTGCACCAATATTTAGGCACCCAAATTTAATATATATATATATATATATATATATATATATATATATATATATATATATGCATCCCTTTCAATGATCGTTTAAAATTTTTGTTTTGCTTAAACAACATTTACTAAGGATCAATGTTTGAATCAGTTGATACTATTCATTATTTTTAGCAACTGAGTTCCACCATTGCACACCTTTAGAGAATTGTATATTATGTCAGCATATACTTTAAAACTTCCATAGACCAAAGTTTTAAATAAATAGTGCTACGAGAAAACAAAATATGAGTACAGTGAGCACAACAAACATCATTGCTTCCTGCATGGTTAAGCATTCAAACTCATAAAAGCTTTGGTTCTTGGTCAAGATATGTCTGATGCAGTCATTTTTTTTTTTTCCCTGTCTTGTGTTAGCATGCAAAGGAGAAAATATATTTAAATTGCTCACAGCCATGTACATTATTTAGCTCCTGACACGGCATTCAATGCCATGGTCTCCTAGTATGTCCCCAGAGAAGAAAAGGGTCAGTTGGGATTGCAGCAAAGAACAAGTAGATCAGAAAACCTGATTATAACTCCTTTTCCACTTGTTTTTTGAAAATAACTTGTAAATTTTCCTCACTGACGTACAGAAACACTACTTTCAAGTAACTTTTAAGTTGTTTATTCAAGACGTTTTTGAGACCCTGTAGTATCAGGGATTATGCTGAGTTCTGTCAAACATATACAAGAGTGCATATACTTAAATATCACAATTATTGAGAAACTCTATGAAGAAAGGAAACAAAATCAGTTGTGGAAAATAGTGGGGTGAAGAGAGGCAAGAATCTGAGTATTAGAGTAATTATAAAAAGGGATCAATTTGAATAAAACAGTTGAATTCATCATTGCCATCATTCAGCTCAGTCCCTCCCTCCATGCCCAGTTCATACTCCTCCACCCTAGTCCTTAATAAGTTCAAATCTTTCAGATTGTCTTTTAAATCTGAAGAATGAAATTCACAGGCAATGGAAACAAGATTTGAAAGGAACAGAATTTATTCAAGTGTAAAAAATAGAAACAGAACTCTCCCAGAGGCAAGAGGGGCCCCCGATAGAGGTTGCCCCTTAATAAATTTTATTTCATCTGAGACAACTTGACGGAGCACAAGTAATGAAAAGAAAATTCATGCATGTTCTATTTCGACTACATGGTCAGTTGCTTATATTACTGCCACTGCTATCATGTTGTTTTTAATTTCTTGTCATGGCCTAAAGAGTGATTTTGAATTGCTATTCTATCAGTAAGCACTCTCATCTTAAAATAAATATTAACAAAAAGCAAAATGGCAAGCTTCAGAAAGGATCTAAGTCAACTGTCCAGAAATTGACCAACAGGGCTTTATAGTAAGAAACAGAAAATAGGAGAGGGTGCTATATAGATATATATATACCGGGCATGGTATATAACATTAAAGAATGCGCTGAGAGGTTGTCATATGTGAGAACACAGACCTTGATTCTGCAATGATCTATGTGTGTGCTAAAAGGGTAACTGCACTTGCACCAGCTAGTCTTTGGGTTTTGGTTCCAGTGACTAATCTCTCTCCTCTCTCTCATAGTCCAAAGGCACCCTTCAGTGCTTCTAAATGGATATACATATGACACCAATTTATCTGGTCATGCCCCAAATTACTTTTTAGTTACTATAAGAATAGCCCATTCATTTTTTTTCCAAAATATTTATATATCTTCAGTTTAGTAACTGGGGATCTTTCTATTATTTGTGTTCAGACTTTTATTAATCCTGACATTTTAAAACTATTTTTAAATAATTGATGGTTTGGATAGATAGGAGTTACAGATGGTCCTCTATCTTAATCAGTTTCCCTTGTTTTCAAACCAAAAATCTTCCTGTGTGAAAGCATTGAATCTTCTTTTCTTCCATGTAAAATAGTAATAATAGTGTCATTTATATAGATACTTCAGGGGCTGGGGATGTGGCTCAAGCGGTAGCGCGCTCGCCTGGCATGCGTGCGGCCCGGGTTCGATCCTCAGCACCACATACCAACAAAGATGTTGTGTCCGCCGAGAACTAAAAATAAATAAATAAATAAATATATAGATACTTCAAAGCATAAAACTATTTCTTGTATATGAAAGGATGTGGAATATTTTGATATGCTAATATAAGACAGGTAATATTAGCCCATCAGATTAATTTCTATTGCCAAACAAAGTTCAGAAGAAATGAGAGTTCTATCAGAGACATTTTTTTCCCATTATATGGGGAAATAGAACACATTTTAGGTATTCTGAGAAACATGGTGTCCTGCATTGTTAGGGAAGCAATTCTTAATAAAGAGGATTGATGCCAATAGAAAGATGACATGTATCTAAAAAAGGCATGTAATTTCAGAATAACTTGAGTATATTTCCTTCTTAGGAATCTATCATGTTTGAAATCATGACAATTCAAGAGGAAAAATAGAATGCAATCTGAATTTTGGTGTTGAAAATATGTCACTAAACACATTATCTCCTAGAAATAGACTGAACATGAATGACGGAGAATGTCATAATGGAACCTATAAATTGGGATAATGAACCTATAAGTTGGGATATATGTTTGTGTGGGAAGTAAATGTAGGTTGGAAGAATGGAAGTGGAATATTATGACCAAAGCCATATGTAAAAATGCTAATGCCCCTCTCTCTTCTGTTTTTAGGAGTCACAGATGAAAGCAATGAAAGAGACTGTACAGCTCTGTTTGACATCAGTTTTCCGTGATCAACCTCCACCTTTGAGTCTAATCACAACAAATCCAGCTCAGATGTTATTTCCAACTAGGACAATTGCTGCTAAGATTCCAGATGAAAAGACAAAAAGCAAGGTACGTTTTATCAGAGCTTTGAAAAGTAATGTCAAGTACTGGACTGTCTTTAAAGTACATCAACAGAGTGAGCCTGAGTAAGATATTCAATTTATTTAAAGTTTAGGAGGTATATGGAAGATTTAACCAGTTTTAAGGTCTCTGTAATCACAAGGAGAGGGTTGTAAGACAGATTTTGTTTAGAGAGCCTGTATGTTAGGCAGGTCCAAATAATTTTAAAATTAAAACAATGAAAGCAACAAAAATAATTTTAAATGAGTTAAAAGAAGTATCTTATATTGTATTAAAATAAACAAAACAGATTTGACGCTGTCTTTGGGAGTATACATATCACTCTGAAATAAATATTCTATTATAGGGTAAGTCCACAGCTCTCAATAGTGACTGCACATGAGAATTTTAAAAAATCCTGATACATAGGGTCTGACCCCAGTCCTATTTTTTTCAGATAGTTTTGAGCAGAACACTAGCCACAACTAATTCTTAACAGTTCCAGGGAATTTTAATCTTCAACCAAGTTCGGGAACAATGGATTTAAGTAATCCTTTCTCTAACCTCCCCATTGCACTACTGTAGACAGAAAGAGAACATTTCACTGCTGCCCATTTCCATTTTGAGATACCTAGCCTACTGAGTTTTACATGTGAATAAATCCAGACAGCCTGGAATTCCTACTGGACAGAGGAGTTTTGTTTTAAGCAATATCTTTGAAGGAGTTGTCTCCCTGATCACRTATCACTTGTTATTAAAGGAGTGCCATTGTATCAGTCTGACTTCTAATGCAATCCCTGAACCACCCAAGGACCACTGATGCCAATACTGAGTGACGTGTTGCACAGGGTGTTTTCTTAATTCTCATTTCTGGAATAGCCTGTATGTGAATTGAAGGAGATAAATGAAATTTATAGTGTAGGGATAGAGAGATAGAAATAAGTAATGCTTGTTTGCTTTATTAGAAGACTTATTTGCCTTCTAACATTGTGTTTTTATATATTACTAGTCAATGTATACCTATACAAATTTATTCTATCTAATCTTATCATGAGGTATTAATATATTATTCTGTAAAATCTTTTAAAAAATAAGTATTTCTATTCCATTCTGTTATCATCTTTCATCTCATTTTATACTGAAAGAACTCTAAAATTTTTGAAGTCAATAGGTTTCTACTTTATTTTTTCTGTCCCTTTCTCTAAAAACTCTAGCTTCAAAGAATTTGCTTACTTAACTCAGATAAGAAAACTAGATAATGCTATATTGCATTATGTTTTTCATGAAAAATCCTGGGTAAATCCCTTGCAAATGATAAAATGCATAGTTACCACACAATATCATCCACCCAGCAGGAAGCCACACCCTGACTCCTCCTCCTGTTTCAGTCTAAGGCAGGAGGTGAATTTGAGGCTCCTCACACCTAATGACTGGGAAAATCAGCTTTGTAATTCTGGGGGTATATTAATTTGTTTCCATTTAAAATATATTTTCTTAAGCCCAGTATTAAAACTRGGCTATTTATGACCCTCAATGTGTGAAGAATATTACTGATTGTGCCTTTAACTGATTTTCTAGGAATAAATGTTTTTTCCATCATTGAAGTAAATAAATATATATTGTTTCTTTTGGCTTACCATGGAAAACAAAAGTAAGGATTTCAATGAGCCTGGTTTGGAGATTGCTCATTTCTCAAAAAAACAGTAACAGGAAACATCCAATTATTTAAGATTAAATTCAATAAATCCAAGTTAATATACTAGAGAGTATCTTATATTATAGCATTGCATTAAAAGCTTGTCTGGGGTTTATGTTTTCCCATATTCTTTATCTTTTTAGTGGTGACAGAAATTATATTTTATGTATGTTTGGGCCTTAATCTCTATACAAGCACTTCACAGGTGATATATTTTAAAATCTTTAATAATAAAATGTGTTGTGGAGGTGTATTAAAAAATAGCTCTTCAGTCATGAAATGACTTTGTTTTTTATCTCTACATACAAAAACTAACTTCTACCTAGGTAAGGCCTCCACCACTGGGCTGCATTTCCACCCTAAAGTCAGGGAAACCTTCAGAGAAGACTAATTTTATTTGTCCCTTTAAGTTGTTTGATAGCCACAACAGATCATTACCCTGTGTTTCTGTTTCCTTGTTGCTCATCTCGTAGAGTTATTATTATGTAAATATTAAAAATATATTTTTTCTTCTTTTTCATGATTTCTGATCAATCTCATCTATTCTTGTTTGGTTTTACAGTTTTCAGCCCTTTTTTAGAGGGTATCTGAATGTTTTTCCCTCCAAATTTGTGTAACACATCTAAAAACACAAATTTCATCCCACATATGGAACAAGATGAAATAGCCCCCAAATGATATCATTTTCTCTAAGAAATTTGTAATATAAACAAGTTTTTATTCCTGTAGCTGCCTGCATATATGTGCATTCCATACATATACATACAAGTACTATATATTGGAATTATTATATATGTATATGTATGCATGCATATATATTCATTATTTATATATGTATGTGTATATATCCACTATTATGCAATTTATATTCATATACTAAAATTGAGAGTGAATATATATATATATATATATATATATACACACACACACACACACATGTAAGTACATATATACTCACTATTGATTTTAAAAGTCAAAGGTTAGAGTGAGAGGTTGAAATGATAAGAGTTAACCAGAAATTGCTTACAAATTAATTTGTACATAGTTACCCAACATTATTTGTTTTGTATTCTGGAACATCTCATTTATCTAACCTGCTATTCCTATAGTGTAAGTTTCTGCTGAGGACCTTTAATTAAGTCTACTGGCTTCTTTTCCAACATTGTGTTTTCTATAGTTGTTATGTCTGCTTCCCTAATTTGAATGAATTTTTTCGTCTCTTCTAACTTAGCCTTATTTTTCTCCTCTGATGGCAGGGTTTACTACCCTCTACTTGGTCATACCTTGAATGCAGGGAATTCTGCATATACTTTTCCCTTTAAGGAAGATGATTGTGCTTTGTTTATCTATTTGCTTGACATTTTTCAGTGTCCAAAGTCTTTAGAGAATCCATTTGAAATGGCATTCATTGTATGTCTCTCTCCGTACTAGACATTTTCTTTATTTGAAACTTAGAAGAATATAATTTACTGAGTGCTTATTAATTGCTTTGTGTTCAACTATATTGTTTTCTATCTATATACCAAAACTATATTAATAACTGGGGAAGCAAATTTGAAATGACATGGTTCTGATCTTTTGGTGATTGCAGTCTAATTCTTTATAGACAAATCAAGAAAAATACAGTCCTGTTATTAATAAGAGACCAGTCCCTTTTTTTTCATTTTTATTTGATGTTGGTGTTTGGAATTCTATACTCCAAATAGTTTTGATTAAAGATAAACTAAGAAAATACTAGGTTCCTAATGCACATGAGAGGATGTATTTGTAATTTCTTTGTTAAGATACAGTATATGTTATGTGGATAATGTTTCTAAAAACTGGTAGATGGAAAGGATTAAATTATGAAATCTGATTTTCATTCTGCATAAAAGGGTCCTAACTAGAATAGAAACAAACAAATCAGTGACAATTGGTTTCATTGATCCATGCAGCACATGGTTGTGACCTGGCTATAAGACAAAAATTAACAATGGGATTCCAGATGTTATTAAGGCATAAAACTGACAAGACCTAATGATTAAGAGGGGTACATGGAAGGGATTCAAGATGGTAGGCCAGAAGGAGGCAGCATTCTGTGTAGCTCTGGGACCTGGGTCTCAACTAGTAGGAATACTGCTTGTCTGAGTGTCATAAAGGACCCCTATATAGCTGCTCTCTCACAGAAATCATGGCCTCAGCATCAGAGCAGGACTCCCCAGGCCTGACACCCAGCTCCCAAAGTTCTAGCCCACACAGGGTTAAAGTGCCTTAGTAGGATCACCACATCCGCACTACTGCAGAACTCCCAGACCCCAGTCTGTTCCCATGCAGGACACTCATCTGCTACCCACCCACAGAAACTCCAGCTGCCACTCCTGTGTGGAATCCCATCTACCAACATAGGGCTTCCCCAAGCCAACTGTGTTTTACAAACTTGCAGCTACTGTCATAATCCTCTATGCACAGAAGACTGCCTCCACCTGGGGATATCTCAAAAGCTCTGAAGACAACCAAAAGCCGAAAATACTGCATGCCACAGAGCTTATCTCTGAACACAATGCACAACACCACTGCCTGGCTCCCCCTACCTGACACTCCAGCGCTGGAAGTGGCCCATCTCCATCTTGGGTCACCTTCCTCACCATCTTTGGTGGGGGCAGTTCCCAGATTGGAACTCCAGCTGGCCAGGTACCTGGTTTCCAACTCGCCTCTCTTCCCAGTGGCTGGTAACCTGGCACAATAACTGCCCAACACAAAACAGCTCTCAGTGGGACAGGTGTGCAGTGCATAGAAGGTGCTGCCCATGGAAGCCCAGGTGAGATAGGTCTCTTAATTGGGAACTGTTAAGAGAGAGGGAGACCTTTCAAAAGTGTGGAAACTAATAGAGAGACCAGTTAATGGGAAATCTTTAGGCAAGATGGGGAAATAGGACTGGGCATTCAAGTCATAAGAGCGGACCCCAAAAGTGACCCTTAAGGTGCAGTCTCCCTGCAGGGACTGGCAGGTGCCACACCTCACTTCCAAGTGTCCTGCACCAGGAAAGGCTTTCCCACCATGGTTACCTCCATGATCCTAAGGGCTGAGATACCAGCTAACAAGAGATGACCCCACCTATTGGGTAAGAAGGGAAGCAGAAAAGATAATGATCTCCAACCAAAACAATTAACAATCCTAGTTTCTTCCTTTGAGTTTTTTTTTCTTTTACTTCTCCTCCTCTATCCTCCTGACCTCACATCCCCAACATATGTGAAACCAAGTACTTTGCATAAATTAGGATTTTTGAGAACTGGGACACCTGAGTAATATATAATAATTGTGTTGTATATGCCCT